GTGTCTGCAGCTTCACCTGTCGTCTCCTATCTCTTCTCCTCTCACAGTCCCTCCTCCTCCTCACTTACCATCTGTGACTGCCTCTAGCTTTGCTTATATTTGTGAACTATAAACTGCTACTTCTTGTACTTGTGCTCAGAATGTGTGGTGACTTTGTGATCCACCCTGAGCTTGTTTTGCTTTTCTTGTTGTGCTGATTACACCCCACTTTGGCTATGGGGGTGTGTCAGAATGTTATGTTTTGTCTAGCCTGCAGTGGGGTACTCAATAGTGAGTACAGCCTAATTTAGGGTTTGCTATATGTACTCAACTGCTTGCTAGTGAAAACTCTCTTTTGTCGTTTCTAACTTCCTGCTGTTTCTTAACAATAGCAAACCCTAAGTTGGGTTGTACTCACTATTGAGTACCCCACTGCAGGCTAGACAAATATAACATTCGGACAGCAACCCCCGCACACTGCAAGGGCCGGAAGATTTTCTCAACACGCACAGTGGGGACTACACCTGGGCATCGAAAAGCATTACAACGCATGGAAGATCTTTGACGTCCACTCGAAGGAAACAGTGGCAGCACGTGATGTCATCTACGAGCGACTCACACTTCAAACGTACCTGGACAACTTGGCAGCAAATCGAGACCTCACGGGCGGCTTCCGTGGCAACCGAGCCTTCGCTTCAGCAGCAGACGAAGCTGACTGGGACGAACAAAACGTGGACAATGCATCCGAAGAAGCAGGACCACTCCCATACTGCTCCGTGCCCATCCCGATGGATGACGAAAATCCTCGCGACAGTGTCAACTCCGAAACTTATTTCGACTTCGCCGACACCGGTTACGTTACACCTCAACCGGTCGACACCAACATCTCCGAACGCGTAGGACCGAATTTCTTACCAGACCCCGAAGCAGGAGACAAAGCAGCTTATCCAGAGGACACAAATCTCCCCCGCTACACACAGAGTGGCCTTCAGATACTGGGACTCGTCACCGCCGTCCACGGAGCAGAACCACCTAAGGAGCCTGCTACCATTCAGCAGGCTCTGGGGGGGGAACACAGGGAAAATTTGTCAGAATCCCAACCACTAGACCATTGGGATAAAAGGGCTTGTTAAGTAGCGGGTCAGAGTGCGCCCATAACCCCCCAGGCGAACGCGCCTGTAACCCCCCTAGGATCAATCGGGCATCCGCAGTGCAGATCTACTGACACCCCCCCACACTGGGAGGCCCAGGACTGAGCACAGCAGCAACGGCCTACATGTGCATACATCGGGATTCGAACCCGAGACCACTCTGACACCATGTCAGAATCCCAGTCAGTAGACCATTGGGATAGAAGGGCTTGTTAAGTAGCGGGTCAGTGCGCCCATAACCCCCCAGGACAACGAGCCTGTAACACTTCCCTAGGATCAATCGGGGATCACCATTGGACCTCTGACACCTCCCTGCACTGGGATACCTGAGGTGCACACACTGGGATTCGAACCCGAGACCTTCGCTTTGATACCATGTCAGAATCCCAACCACTAGACCATTGGGATAAAGTGGCTTGTTAAGTAGCGGGTCAAAGTGCGCCCATAACCCCTCAGGCGAACGCGCCTGTAACCCCCCTAGGATCAATCGGGCATCCGCATTGCAGATCTACTGACAAAAATGGCGTGAAGCCATGGACAAAGAGTTGAAGGCGCTGCAAGAACGCAACACCTGCAAAGTCGTGCCTATCGGGGTGGCACGCAACAAAACTATCCTCACGGGAAAATGGGTTTTCCGCGTGAAAACAAAAGCTGACGGAACAATCGACAAGTTCAAAGCACGCTGGGTCGTGCGAGGCTTCGACCAAGAGCAAGGGCGAGACTTCACGGAAACATTCGCCCTAGTAAGCCGACATACCTCGCTGCGGATTCTCCTCGCAATCGCCGCCATGAACCGGAAGAAGCTTCGACAAATCGATGTCGCCAACGCCTTCCTCTACGCCCCCGTCGACGCTGAGATTTTCGTCGAACTCCCGCACGGGTCCAACGCAGGCCCAAACCAAATCTGTCAACTGGAGAAGTCGATGTACGGGATTAAGCAAGCCCCGAGACTATGGCAGCAGCACCTTCACGCCCGCCTACTTCGCATCGGATTTCTTCAGCTACCACACGATCAAGGGATGTATCGACTGACGAAAGGCACCGACTACATTCTACTTATCGTCTACGTCGATGATCTTCTCTACATAGGCTCCACCGACGCTGTAACAACATGGTTTGAAGGGGAGCTGTAGGGAGATCTAACTCTCACCGTCGCAACCACCGTGACACAGTACCTAGGACTGAACATCGAAGACGGCGACAATGCCATCTACCTCAGCGCTGCAAAATACACGGACACTATTGCTAAACGCTTCGGACTCACTTCAACCACTATCTCCACGCCATACTACTACACCGACGGAAATCGGAAAGCCTCCGCCCTACTCAAACCTGCTGGCGTCCGCGACTACCAAAGGAAGCTAGGCTGCCTACTCTTCGCAGCCGTCACCTGCCGACCGGATCTATCCTACTCAGCTAGCCAACTTGCTACCTACCTCAAGAAGCCTGAAGCAGATCACATGATCGAACTCGACCGAGCGCTTCACTACCTTGTCAGCACTCCGACGATCGGACTCACCTACCACAAAACCAGCACCGCAACACCTAAGCTAATCGGTTACGTCGACGCCAATCACGCTGGAGATTCAGACAACAGACAGTCTCGAACCGGCTACGTCTACAAACTCGAACCTATCGGGCCTATCTCATGGCAGTCGAACAAGCAAGAGCTAATCGCTCTCTCGTCAGCAGAAGCAGAATATATCGCACTCTGCTCAGCCACCAAGGAAGGGCTATATCTTCGCGAACTACTGGAGGAAGCAAAATTGGCCCAGTTACCCAATTTCTCTCTCTTCTGCGGTAACCAATCGGCCATTTGCATAGCGAACAAAAACGGGTTCGCGAATCGAACGAAGCACATCGCCCTTCGGTACTTCTTCGTAAAAGACGAAATCGAAAAGGGAAGACTCGAGCTATCCTATTGTCCCACATCCGAGATGGCAGCTGATTACTTGACCAAGAAACTCGGAAATCAGAAGTTCGAGTACTGCATGCTGCTGACTGGACAAGGACACGTCATCAGCAGCGATCCTCTAGAAGCGAAGGGGAGTGTTGGAAACAAGTGACTTAAAACGCTTCTGTCGTATCGAAGCTTCGACACGAAACGGAGCTAACTACAGCGAAGAAGCACTCGAGTCAACCAAGGCAACCGTCGGAGGTTACGCGAAGGTCAAAGGTCCCCGACCTTTGACTTGACGAAACGTACAGTGCGACAGCAAGGACGCATAACTGACTCGTTACAGAGCAGTTACCCGAGTCGGCACTGTATCGAACCGCAACAGCAAAACAGTTAAAATAGAACTTTCCATATTCCTTTGTAATCATATAAAAGGCTTGTATGTCTTTGTTATTATCAAATTATCTTGTTCCCACATACCAGCACAAGGTGGTTCAAGTAATTCTTCAGTAAACGCTTCTGCAATTACATCTCTACGTCAACACCCGATCTTAGTCCTGAAAGTTCCTAAGGGCTTTTCTCAGCCCAACAACTATTACGCTTCCACTAATACCGTCATACCCCGGATATAAGCGCCACCCGCGAATAAGCGCCTGGCGCTTTTAATTGGCGTGTGGCGCTTATATCCGGTGCTCGATTATAAGCGCATACCTAAAAGGCTTACGGATTATAACCGCATACCTGTGCCTTACATTTTATAACCGCCACCCAGTTTTTTTTTCTTTTTTTTTTCATTTGAAGACCTTTTACATAATTAGTATACTAAAACATGATGTTAATTACTCTACAACTAGTTAATCTACTCCTACCTACGAGCCTCACACTGGCTTCACCATTTTCTACACTAGTTAATCTACCCTACTCTAATCATCAGCTGCAGTGGGGTCATCTGGGTCGGCCTCAGAGTCCGACTCAGGTTCCTCTACGTTGTTGCAGAAGAAACCGTGTGCTGCAATTTCATCATCCATGTCGACCTCCTCGCCCTCGAGCTCATCTCGCCTGTGTTGCAGGCAGAGCTTGTCCTGGGATCCTCGGTGGCAGGGAATCTTGCTGTTGATGGGCACGTCGTGGCTGAACCACGACGTGCCCACGATCGCATGCAACCCTGATTGGGCCGCTGTGATGCGAAGTACGTGTGCCCTGGCATGGGCCAGGTTCACGTTCGATGAACCTGGCCTGGCCAACAAGGCGTGGAAGGCGTGATGCCACGCCTTGTTGGCCGTTTCACGCGCAAAGCATGCACAGAGTCGAACGTTCTCGACTCAGGTGAATCCGCCTTTGAGAATGCTTCGATTTGGTATATTTAAAAACAAATTTCATTTTTGACATAACATAAACGCCGGCGCTTATAATTTTACTATATTATAAGCCCACCCCCTAAAAAAAACATGTTTTATTAGTGTCCCCCATGGGGGTATATCCGGGGTATGACAGTGAATCACTACTCTGAGACTTTAGTCTTGAAAACGATCCTAAGGGCTTTTCACAGCCCAACAGGAATTACGATAAATGTTTTACCTGAACACTCTTTCAAATAGTTATTTGTATATGTTTGTATGTTTTACTTATATTCATATAGTTATAGGCTAAACTAGGGTTTAGTTTCTTTGAGGGGATAACACTTGTTCCTTTTTAGTACTCTCGACTTTCTACCTAGTGCACTTTTCTCTCTCGACACTCTCAAGTCACACAACGAATAGCACCTGCGAAGTAGCTTTACAGGTGCAGAACTATATTATGGCATAAGCCACATCTCTACGGAACGCCGACCATGCATGCATACCCATCATCCAACTCTCACGGGGACCTGGGTGACATTTCAAGACTGACCACAACAATCTGTCCTCGAGCCTTTCCAACAGCAGCAGTGCACGCCAAACCCAAACCTGAACCCAACCCCCTGTGTGACGCCACTATTCAACAACAGCCATCAGCTTATCTCGCATCACCGACATGCTCGGGCGGTTATCCCAATCGAAGAAGATGGCGAATCGAATGAGCGTGAAGACAATGTAGACTTGCTTCTTGGTCCACTCGCCCTTTATGCACGGGTCCACCACCAGCTCCGGGTCCGGAAAGGTCTTCGCCACCACCAGCTTTCGAAGCTCCTGGAAGCGATCGTCGAGGGCGAGGCAGCCGGATACGAGCTCGAGGAGGAAGACCCCAAAGGCATATGTGTCGGACTTGCGGCTCAGTTGGCCTTGGAGGTCGAGGGGTGGGCAAAGAACGGGATGTGAGGGAGTGGGGGGTTGGGAATGGAAGGGAGTGGGACATCGGGATTGCAAGGAATTGGGGTGCTAGGATTGCAAAAAAGTGGGGAATCGGAATACGAAGTGGGGCATTGGGATTGCAAGGGCATCGGGGGTTGGCTGACACTACAGCATACAAACGTTTACGCTTGGACAGAAAGAAAAGGGAGAGAGGCCATAAAGAGGATGGATCCAAACAATAAGGAGGATAAATGAAAATCACTAAGAAAAACGATAGATGGTGAGCGTAATCAAATGCCACTAAACAAGCATGCAATACAAGAGGCTCACCCCTATTAGAAATACATGGCCCCATGCTACTGAGAGGCTCGTGTGTGTATGAATGGATGTGCATTGACCACTGACCACATGCACACATGCGTGCATCGCTAGGCACTCACCTGTCTGGAAGTAGATGGGGTCCATGTACCCCATGCTGCCCATCACTCACCTGTCTGGAAGTAGATGGGGTCCATGTACCCCATGCTGCCCATCACTCACCTGTCTGGAAGTAGATGGGGTCCATGTACCCCATGCTGCCCATCACTCACCTGTCTGGAAGTAGATGGGGTCCATGTACCCCATGCTGCCCATCACTCACCTGTCTGGAAGTAGATGGGGTCCATGTACCCCATGCTGCCCATCACCCGCGTGCTCACGTGCGTTGCCCAGTCCGTCACCGACTTTGCCAACCCAAAATCCGCCAGCACTGGTGTCAGGTCCTGTGCGGTGGTGCGGTGACGGGAGAGAGGTGGGAGGGAAAGGAGGTATTGGATAGGTGTGGTAAAGGCTGTGAGGCATGGAAACGGGCGTGAGGCACAGTAAGGGTTGTGGGACATGAAGAAGGGGTGTGTGAGGCAAGGAGGGGGAGGGTTATAAGGCAAAGGGTGGGGTTGTGAGAAGCAAGAGGGGTGCGGGGTGTGAGAGGCAAGAGGGGTGGAGGGTGTGAGAGGCAAGAGGGGTGGGGGGTGTGAGAGGCAAGAGGGGTGGGGGGTGTGAGATGGGTGGGGGGTGTGAGGCACTAGGGGGAGTGTTTGAGGCAAAGGACGGTTGTCTGAGGCAACGGAGGGTGTGGTGCATTGCAGCGCAGTCCAGTCCAGTGCAGTCAGGACTCAGGTGTGGTGCAATTCAGTGCGGTGCAGCATGGTAGCACCCCCCCACCTCGCGGAGCAGCACGTTGGAGGCCTTGAAGTCGCGGTGCACAAAGTTGGCGTCATGGATGGCTGCCAGCGCCTCCGCACACCCCAGCGCCACCACCAGCCGCGCCCTCCATGGAAACGCCACCTCTCCTCTTGCCGCTACCATCGGAAGGTTCCGGGAATAGAGGGGACGTAGGCAGCAGGCGAAGTGGAGAGTTTACGATTGCAAGTGAGGATGGGCCTGTGAGAGCATCTGCGCATCCCATCGCCCCCCGTTGCCACCATCAAGTGTGCCCGCCACTGTAAGTGCACCACCCCTCTTGGTTGCAGTGCAGGAAGGTTCTGAGAAGGAGTAGTGCGAGGAGTTGGGGTGGGAAGCAGGGCTCGTGTGCACGCCTTCTAAGATTCTGCAGAGGTTTAGGATCAGCCTTGATGCATTCATAACTGTCCAGTTGTTGGGAAAATATGCTGTTGGGGGCCTAGTTCTTCACCTGGATTGGTAAAACCAGCAGAGAGAAATAAGTTTTGGCAGAAACTCCCCATTTATTCCCACTCACATCTCCTTCTCCCTCCTCTCTCCCCCACTCCTCCCACTCTTTCCTCCCCACACACCTCCTTCCCCTCCCTTTATAATCCACGACTCCCACTCACAACCCTCTTACATGACTTTCTTCTCTGCACATCTCATAGCCACCCAGCCCCATCTGCAAATTTCTCACCGCTCCGCTTCTAGTTTGCACTAACAGCAAAGCAGCAGCAGTGGCGCTGGCGGCAGCTGCAGCAGCGGCAGAACGCACATAGTTTGAGCATCTCGGTGCAGTCGCCGCGGGGGATGAACTCGTAGACGAGCACAGGGGAGGGCGAGTCCCCCACGTAGCCCAGCAGCTGCAGGATCTTGGGGTGCTGCATGGCCGTCATCGCTGCCACCTCCACCTGGTGGCGGTGAGAGGGAGGGGAGTGGGGAGAGAGGGGGCATGAGAACGGGGGGCAGGGTGATGCCACACATAGCCCAGCAGCTTCAGGATTCTGGGGTGCTGCATGGCCGTCATCGCTGCCACCTCCACCTGGTGGCGGTGAGAGTGGGGAGGGGCATACTGTATGAGTGGCAAGGAGTGATCAGTTAAGCGCCTCTGAAAGTGAGCGAGTATCCCAGTGGGGAGGGGCACGGTGAGAGTGGGGAGGGGCACGGTGAGAGTGGGGAGGGGCACAGTGAGAGTGGGGAGGGGCACGGTGAGAGTGGGGATGGGCACGGTGAGAGTGGGGATGGGCACGGTGACGGGGACGGGGTATCAGTAACATGAAGCGATCCTTTAGGCGCCTCTGAAAGAGAGCGAGTCTCCCACACAGCCCAGCAGCTGCGGGGTGCTGCATGGCCGAGACTGACGTCACTCCACCTGGGGGCGGTGAGAGGGGGGGTTGTGGGGAGAGATGAGGCATGAGAGGAAAGGGGGGGGGGAGATGATGGGGCATGACAGACACTGCCCAGCAGCTGCAGGATGTTGCGGTGCGGCATGGCCGTCGCTGCCGTCACCTCTGCCTGGGGGCAGTGAGGGCAGTGCCTCACACGGCACGGCTTGGTCAGCTTATGGGCGCTGAGGGGGATGTGAGAGATAGAGGGCCACGAGGGGCGGGGAGGAAACAGGGTGCAGCTGTGTAAGCTCACTACCACTCCCCCCTGCCCTCACTCTCACTCCTTAACAAGACGAGCTCCAGCCTTAGGAGCTCTTAGCTAAGAGCTACTCTACCTTACACTGATTATTCCTACTCGCCTAACACGACTAGTACGACATGAGCAAGCCCCCGAACCCCCGTTCGGTTCATCACCAACTCGTTTCTGACAACCCGAACAGGGTTTAGTTTCCGGCCCAAATGCGTTTGGGTCGAATGCTCCCCCATTCGAGGCAAACACGTTCGGTTCACACTCAAACACCCTATAAACCGATCGCATTCGGTTCGGGTAGGAAGGGTGTTTGTTCGGGTCCGACCAAACTCGTTCGAGTTTCGGTTTTGCTCATGCCCACTTGTAAGTACCATAGCTCCTGACTAGATGGCTTTTCCTGCCTTACTACTATCCCCTGCCCTCACTCTCCCCTGCTACTCACCTGGAGACTCGACATGCCTTGGGTGATGTGGTCCGCGGCCATCACCACCTCGCCCACCTGGAAGCTCGCCTCGCCCACCTGGAAGCTCACCTCGCCCACCTGGAAGCTCGCCTCGCCCACCTGGAAGCTCGCCTCGCCCACCTGGAAGCTCGCCTCGCCCACCTGGAAGCTCGCCTCGCCCACCTGGAAGCTCGCCTCGCCCACCTGGAAGCTCGCCTCGCCCACCTGGAAGCTCGCCTCGCCCACCTGGAAGCTCGCCTCGCCCACCTGGAAGCTCGCCTCGCCCACCTGGAAGCTCGCCTCGCCCACCTGGAAGCTCGCCTCGCCCACCTGGAAGCTCGCCTCGCCCACCTGGAAGCTCGCCTCGCCCACCTGGAAGCTCGCCTCGCCCACCTGGAAGCTCGCCTCGCCCACCTGGAAGCTCGCCTCGCCCACCTGGAAGCTCGCCTCGCCCACCTGGAAGCTCGCCTCGCCCACCTGGAAGCTCGCCTCGCCCACCTGGAAGCTCGCCTCGCCCACCTGGAAGCTCGCCTCGCCCACCTGGAAGCTCGCCTCGCCCACCTGGAAGCTCGCCTCGCCCACCTGGAAGCTCGCCTCGCCCACCTGGAAGCTCGCCTCGCCCACCTGGAAGCTCGCCTCGCCCACCTGGAAGCTCGCCTCGCCCACCTGGAAGCTCGCCTCGCCCACCTGGAAGCTCGCCTCGCCCACCTGGAAGCTCGCCTCGCCCACCTGGAAGCTCGCCTCGCCCACCTGGAAGCTCGCCTCGCCCACCTGGAAGCTCGCCTCGCCCACCTGGAAGCTCGCCTCGCCCACCTGGAAGCTCGCCTCGCCCACCTGGAAGCTCGCCTCGCCCACCTGGAAGCTCGCCTCGCCCACCTGGAAGCTCGCCTCGCCCACCTGGAAGCTCGCCTCGCCCACCTGGAAGCTCGCCTCGCCCACCTGGAAGCTCGCCTCGCCCACCTGGAAGCTCGCCTCGCCCACCTGGAAGCTCGCCTCGCCCACCTGGAAGCTCGCCTCGCCCACCTGGAAGCTCGCCTCGCCCACCTGGAAGCTCGCCTCGCCCACCTGGAAGCTCGCCTCGCCCACCTGGAAGCTCGCCTCGCCCACCTGGAAGCTCGCCTCGCCCACCTGGAAGCTCGCCTCGCCCACCTGGAAGCTCGCCTCGCCCACCTGGAAGCTCGCCTCGCCCACCTGGAAGCTCGCCTCGCCCACCTGGAAGCTCGCCTCGCCCACCTGGAAGCTCGCCTCGCCCACCTGGAAGCTCGCCTCGCCCACCTGGAAGCTCGCCTCGCCCACCTGGAAGCTCGCCTCGCCCACCTGGAAGCTCGCCTCGCCCACCTGGAAGCTCGCCTCGCCCACCTGGAAGCTCGCCTCGCCCACCTGGAAGCTCGCCTCGCCCACCTGGAAGCTCGCCTCGCCCACCTGGAAGCTCGCCTCGCCCACCTGGAAGCTCGCCTCGCCCACCTGGAAGCTCGCCTCGCCCACCTGGAAGCTCGCCTCGCCCACCTGGAAAGCTCGCCTCGCCCACCTGGAAGCTCGCCTCGCCCACCTGGAAGCTCGCCTCGCCCACCTGGAAGCTCGCCTCGCCCACCTGGAAGCTCGCCTCGCCCACCTGGAAGCTCGCCTCGCCCACCTGGAAGCTCGCCTCGCCCACCTGGAAGCTCGCCTCGCCCACCTGGAAGCTCGCCTCGCCCACCTGGAAGCTCGCCTCGCCCACCTGGAAGCTCGCCTCGCCCACCTGGAAGCTCGCCTCGCCCACCTGGAAGCTCGCCTCGCCCACCTGGAAGCTCGCCTCGCCCACCTGGAAGCTCGCCTCGCCCACCTGGAAGCTCGCCTCGCCCACCTGGAAGCTCGCCTCGCCCACCTGGAAGCTCGCCTCGCCCACCTGGAAGCTCGCCTCGCCCACCTGGAAGCTCGCCTCGCCCACCTGGAAGCTCGCCTCGCCCACCTGGAAGCTCGCCTCGCCCACCTGGAAGCTCGCCTCGCCCACCTGGAAGCTCGCCTCGCCCACCTGGAAGCTCGCCTCGCCCACCTGGAAGCTCGCCTCGCCCACCTGGAAGCTCGCCTCGCCCACCTGGAAGCTCGCCTCGCCCACCTGGAAGCTCGCCTCGCCCACCTGGAAGCTCGCCTCGCCCACCTGGAAGCTCGCCTCGCCCACCTGGAAGCTCGCCTCGCCCACCTGGAAGCTCGCCTCGCCCACCTGGAAGCTCGCCTCGCCCACCTGGAAGCTCGCCTCGCCCACCTGGAAGCTCGCCTCGCCCACCTGGAAGCTCGCCTCGCCCACCTGGAAGCTCGCCTCGCCCACCTGGAAGCTCGCCTCGCCCACCTGGAAGCTCGCCTCGCCCACCTGGAAGCTCGCCTCGCCCACCTGGAAGCTCGCCTCGCCCACCTGGAAGCTCGCCTCGCCCACCTGGAAGCTCGCCTCGCCCACCTGGAAGCTCGCCTCGCCCACCTGGAAGCTCGCCTCGCCCACCTGGAAGCTCGCCTCGCCCACCCTGGAAGCGTCGCCTCGCCCACCTGGAAGCTCGCCTCGCCCACCTGGAAGCTCGCCTCGCCACCTGGAAGCTCGCCTCGCCACCTGGAAGCTCGCCTCGCCCACCTGGAAGCTCGCCGTCGCCCACCTGGAAGCTCGCCTCGCCCACCTGGAAGCTCGCCTCGCCCACCTGGAAGCTCGCCTCGCCCACCTGGAAGCTCGCCTCGCCCACCTGGAAGCTCGCCTCGCCCACCTGGAAGCTCGCCTCGCCCACCTGGAAGCTCGCCTCGCCCACCTGGAAGCTCGCCTCGCCCACCTGGAAGCTCGCCTCGCCCACCTGGAAGCTCGCCTCGCCCACCTGGAAGCTCGCCTCGCCCACCTGGAAGCTCGCCTCGCCCACCTGGAAGCTCGCCTCGCCCACCTGGAAGCTCGCCTCGCCCACCTGGAAGCTCGCCTCGCCCACCTGGAAGCTCGCCTCGCCCACCTGGAAGCTCGCCTCGCCCACCTGGAAGCTCGCCTCGCCCACCTGGAAGCTCGCCTCGCCCACCTGGAAGCTCGCCTCGCCCACCTGGAAGCTCGCCTCGCCCACCTGGAAGCTCGCCTCGCCCACCTGGAAGCTCGCCTCGCCCACCTGGAAGCTCGCCTCGCCCACCTGGAAGCTCGCCTCGCCCACCTGGAAGCTCGCCTCGCCCACCTGGAAGCTCGCCTCGCCCACCTGGAAGCTCGCCTCGCCCACCTGGAAGCTCGCCTCGCCCACCTGGAAGCTCGCCTCGCCCACCTGGAAGCTCGCCTCGCCCACCTGGAAGCTCGCCTCGCCCACCTGGAAGCTCGCCTCGCCCACCTGGAAGCTCGCCTCGCCCACCTGGAAGCTCGCCTCGCCCACCTGGAAGCTCGCCTCGCCCACCTGGAAGCTCGCCTCGCCCACCTGGAAGCTCGCCTCGCCCACCTGGAAGCTCGCCTCGCCCACCTGGAAGCTCGCCTCGCCCACCTGGAAGCTCGCCTCGCCCACCTGGAAGCTCGCCTCGCCCACCTGGAAGCTCGCCTCGCCCACCTGGAAGCTCGCCTCGCCCACCTGGAAGCTCGCCTCGCCCACCTGGAAGCTCGCCTCGCCCACCTGGAAGCTCGCCTCGCCCACCTGGAAGCTCGCCTCGCCCACCTGGAAGCTCGCCTCGCCCACCTGGAAGCTCGCCTCGCCCACCTGGAAGCTCGCCTCGCCCACCTGGAAGCTCGCCTCGCCCACCTGGAAGCTCGCCTCGCCCACCTGGAAGCTCGCCTCGCCCACCTGGAAGCTCGCCTCGCCCACCTGGAAGCTCGCCTCGCCCACCTGGAAGCTCGCCTCGCCCACCTGGAAGCTCGCCTCGCCCACCTGGAAGCTCGCCTCGCCCACCTGGAAGCTCGCCTCGCCCACCTGGAAGCTCGCCTCGCCCACCTGGAAGCTCGCCTCGCCCACCTGGAAGCTCGCCTCGCCCACCTGGAAGCTCGCCTCGCCCACCTGGAAGCTCGCCTCGCCCACCTGGAAGCTCGCCTCGCCCACCTGGAAGCTCGCCTCGCCCACCTGGAAGCTCGCCTCGCCCACCTGGAAGCTCGCCTCGCCCACCTGGAAGCTCGCCTCGCCCACCTGGAAGCTCGCCTCGCCCACCTGGAAGCTCGCCTCGCCCACCTGGAAGCTCGCCTCGCCCACCTGGAAGCTCGCCTCGCCCACCTGGAAGCTCGCCTCGCCCACCTGGAAGCTCGCCTCGCCCACCTGGAAGCTCGCCTCGCCCACCTGGAAGCTCGCCTCGCCCACCTGGAAGCTCGCCTCGCCCACCTGGAAGCTCGCCTCGCCCACCTGGAAGCTCGCCTCGCCCACCTGGAAGCTCGCCTCGCCCACCTGGAAGCTCGCCTCGCCCACCTGGAAGCTCGCCTCGCCCACCTGGAAGCTCGCCTCGCCCACCTGGAAGCTCGCCTCGCCCACCTGGAAGCTCGCCTCGCCCACCTGGAAGCTCGCCTCGCCCACCTGGAAGCTCGCCTCGCCCACCTGGAAGCTCGCCTCGCCCACCTGGAAGCTCGCCTCGCCCACCTGGAAGCTCGCCTCGCCCACCTGGAAGCTCGCCTCGCCCACCTGGAAGCTCGCCTCGCCCACCTGGAAGCTCGCCTCGCCCACCTGGAAGCTCGCCTCGCCCACCTGGAAGCTCGCCTCGCCCACCTGGAAGCTCGCCTCGCCCACCTGGAAGCTCGCCTCGCCCACCTGGAAGCTCGCCTCGCCCACCTGGAAGCTCGCCTCGCCCACCTGGAAGCTCGCCTCGCCCACCTGGAAGCTCGCCTCGCCCACCTGGAAGCTCGCCTCGCCCACCTGGAAGCTCGCCTCGCCCACCTGGAAGCTCGCCTCGCCCACCTGGAAGCTCGCCTCGCCCACCTGGAAGCTCGCCTCGCCCACCTGGAAGCTCGCCTCGCCCACCTGGAAGCTCGCCTCGCCCACCTGGAAGCTCGCCTCGCCCACCTGGAAGCTCGCCTCGCCCACCTGGAAGCTCGCCTCGCCCACCTGGAAGCTCGCCTCGCCCACCTGGAAGCTCGCCTCGCCCACCTGGAAGCTCGCCTCGCCCACCTGGAAGCTCGCCTCGCCCACCTGGAAGCTCGCCTCGCCCACCTGGAAGCTCGCCTCGCCCACCTGGAAGCTCGCCTCGCCCACCTGGAAGCTCGCCTCGCCCACCTGGAAGCTCGCCTCGCCCACCTGGAAGCTCGCCTCGCCCACCTGGAAGCTCGCCTCGCCCACCTGGAAGCTCGCCTCGCCCACCTGGAAGCTCGCCTCGCCCCACCTGGAAGCTCGCCTCGCCCACCTGGAAGCTCGCCTCGCCCACCTGGAAGCTCGCCTCGCCCACCTGGAAGCTCGCCTCGCCCACCTGGAAGCTCGCCTCGCCCACCTGGAAGCTCGCCTCGCCCACCTGGAAGCTCGCCTCGCCCACCTGGAAGCTCGCCTCGCCCACCTGGAAGCTCGCCTCGCCCACCTGGAAGCTCGCCTCGCCCACCTGGAAGCTCGCCTCGCCCACCTGGAAGCTCGCCTCGCCCACCTGGAAGCTCGCCTCGCCCACCTGGAAGCTCGCCTCGCCCACCTGGAAGCTCGCCTCGCCCACCTGGAAGCTCGCCTCGCCCACCTGGAAGCTCGCCTCGCCCACCTGGAAGCTCGCCTCGCCCACCTGGAAGCTCGCCTCGCCCACCTGGAAGCTCGCCTCGCCCACCTGGAAGCTCGCCTCGCCCACCTGGAAGCTCGCCTCGCCCACCTGGAAGCTCGCCTCGCCCACCTGGAAGCTCGCCTCGCCCACCTGGAAGCTCGCCTCGCCCACCTGGAAGCTCGCCTCGCCCACCTGGAAGCTCGCCTCGCCCACCTGGAAGCTCGCCTCGCCCACCTGGAAGCTCGCCTCGCCCACCTGGAAGCTCGCCTCGCCCACCTGGAAGCTCGCCTCGCCCACCTGGAAGCTCGCCTCGCCCACCTGGAAGCTCGCCTCGCCCACCTGGAAGCTCGCCTCGCCCACCTGGAAGCTCGCCTCGCCCACCTGGAAGCTCGCCTCGCCCACCTGGAAGCTCGCCTCGCCCACCTGGAAGCTCGCCTCGCCCACCTGGAAGCTCGCCTCGCCCACCTGGAAGCTCGCCTCGCCCACCTGGAAGCTCGCCTCGCCCACCTGGAAGCTCGCCTCGCCCACCTGGAAGCTCGCCTCGCCCACCTGGAAGCTCGCCTCGCCCACCTGGAAGCTCGCCTCGCCCACCTGGAAGCTCGCCTCGCCCACCTGGAAGCTCGCCTCGCCCACCTGGAAGCTCGCCTCGCCCACCTGGAAGCTCGCCTCGCCCACCTGGAAGCTCGCCTCGCCCACCTGGAAGCTCGCCTCGCCCACCTGGAAGCTCGCCTCGCCCACCTGGAAGCTCGCCTCGCCCACCTGGAAGCTCGCCTCGCCCACCTGGAAGCTCGCCTCGCCCACCTGGAAGCTCGCCTCGCCCACCTGGAAGCTCGCCTCGCCCACCTGGAAGCTCGCCTCGCCCACCTGGAAGCTCGCCTCGCCCACCTGGAAGCTCGCCTCGCCCACCTGGAAGCTCGCCTCGCCCACCTGGAAGCTCGCCTCGCCCACCTGGAAGCTCGCCTCGCCCACCTGGAAGCTCGCCTCGCCCACCTGGAAGCTCGCCTCGCCCACCTGGAAGCTCGCCTCGCCCACCTGGAAGCTCGCCTCGCCCACCTGGAAGCTCGCCTCGCCCACCTGGAAGCTCGCCTCGCCCACCTGGAAGCTCGCCTCGCCCACCTGGAAGCTCGCCTCGCCCACCTGGAAGCTCGCCTCGCCCACCTGGAAGCTCGCCTCGCCCACCTGGAAGCTCGCCTCGCCCACCTGGAAGCTCGCCTCGCCCACCTGGAAGCTCGCCTCGCCCACCTGGAAGCTCGCCTCGCCCACCTGGAAGCTCGCCTCGCCCACCTGGAAGCTCGCCTCGCCCACCTGGAAGCTCGCCTCGCCCACCTGGAAGCTCGCCTCGCCCACCTGGAAGCTCGCCTCGCCCACCTGGAAGCTCGCCTCGCCCACCTGGAAGCTCGCCTCGCCCACCTGGAAGCTCGCCTCGCCCACCTGGAAGCTCGCCTCGCCCACCTGGAAGCTCGCCTCGCCCACCTGGAAGCTCGCCTCGCCCACCTGGAAGCTCGCCTCGCCCACCTGGAAGCTCGCCTCGCCCACCTGGAAGCTCGCCTCGCCCACCTGGAAGCTCGCCTCGCCCACCTGGAAGCTCGCCTCGCCCACCTGGAAGCTCGCCTCGCCCACCTGGAAGCTCGCCTCGCCCACCTGGAAGCTCGCCTCGCCCACCTGGAAGCTCGCCTCGCCCACCTGGAAGCTCGCCTCGCCCACCTGGAAGCTCGCCTCGCCCACCTGGAAGCTCGCCTCGCCCACCTGGAAGCTCGCCTCGCCCACCTGGAAGCTCGCCTCGCCCACCTGGAAGCTCGCCTCGCCCACCTGGAAGCTCGCCTCGCCCACCTGGAAGCTCGCCTCGCCCACCTGGAAGCTCGCCTCGCCCACCTGGAAGCTCGCCTCGCCCACCTGGAAGCTCGCCTCGCCCACCTGGAAGCTCGCCTCGCCCACCTGGAAGCTCGCCTCGCCCACCTGGAAGCTCGCCTCGCCCACCTGGAAGCTCGCCTCGCCCACCTGGAAGCTCGCCTCGCCCACCTGGAAGCTCGCCTCGCCCACCTGGAAGCTCGCCTCGCCCACCTGGAAGCTCGCCTCGCCCACCTGGAAGCTCGCCTCGCCCACCTGGAAGCTCGCCTCGCCCACCTGGAAGCTCGCCTCGCCCACCTGGAAGCTCGCCTCGCCCACCTGGAAGCTCGCCTCGCCCACCTGGAAGCTCGCCTCGCCCACCTGGAAGCTCGCCTCGCCCACCTGGAAGCTCGCCTCGCCCACCTGGAAGCTCGCCTCGCCCACCTGGAAGCTCGCCTCGCCCACCTGGAAGCTCGCCTCGCCCACCTGGAAGCTCGCCTCGCCCACCTGGAAGCTCGCCTCGCCCACCTGGAAGCTCGCCTCGCCCACCTGGAAGCTCGCCTCGCCCACCTGGAAGCTCGCCTCGCCCACCTGGAAGCTCGCCTCGCCCACCTGGAAGCTCGCCTCGCCCACCTGGAAGCTCGCCTCGCCCACCTGGAAGCTCGCCTCGCCCACCTGGAAGCTCGCCTCGCCCACCTGGAAGCTCGCCTCGCCCACCTGGAAGCTCGCCTCGCCCACCTGGAAGCTCGCCTCGCCCACCTGGAAGCTCGCCTCGCCCACCTGGAAGCTCGCCTCGCCCACCTGGAAGCTCGCCTCGCCCACCTGGAAGCTCGCCTCGCCCACCTGGAAGCTCGCCTCGCCCACCTGGAAGCTCGCCTCGCCCACCTGGAAGCTCGCCTCGCCCACCTGGAAGCTCGCCTCGCCCACCTGGAAGCTCGCCTCGCCCACCTGGAAGCTCGCCTCGCCCACCTGGAAGCTCGCCTCGCCCACCTGGAAGCTCGCCTCGCCCACCTGGAAGCTCGCCTCGCCCACCTGGAAGCTCGCCTCGCCCACCTGGAAGCTCGCCTCGCCCACCTGGAAGCTCGCCTCGCCCACCTGGAAGCTCGCCTCGCCCACCTGGAAGCTCGCCTCGCCCACCTGGAAGCTCGCCTCGCCCACCTGGAAGCTCGCCTCGCCCACCTGGAAGCTCGCCTCGCCCACCTGGAAGCTCGCCTCGCCCACCTGGAAGCTCGCCTCGCCCACCTGGAAGCTCGCCTCGCCCACCTGGAAGCTCGCCTCGCCCACCTGGAAGCTCGCCTCGCCCACCTGGAAGCTCGCCTCGCCCACCTGGAAGCTCGCCTCGCCCACCTGGAAGCTCGCCTCGCCCACCTGGAAGCTCGCCTCGCCCACCTGGAAGCTCGCCTCGCCCACCTGGAAGCTCGCCTCGCCCACCTGGAAGCTCGCCTCGCCCACCTGGAAGCTCGCCTCGCCCACCTGGAAGCTCGCCTCGCCCACCTGGAAGCTCGCCTCGCCCACCTGGAAGCTCGCCTCGCCCACCTGGAAGCTCGCCTCGCCCACCTGGAAGCTCGCCTCGCCCACCTGGAAGCTCGCCTCGCCCACCTGGAAGCTCGCCTCGCCCACCTGGAAGCTCGCCTCGCCCACCTGGAAGCTCGCCTCGCCCACCTGGAAGCTCGCCTCGCCCACCTGGAAGCTCGCCTCGCCCACCTGGAAGCTCGCCTCGCCCACCTGGAAGCTCGCCTCGCCCACCTGGAAGCTCGCCTCGCCCACCTGGAAGCTCGCCTCGCCCACCTGGAAGCTCGCCTCGCCCACCTGGAAGCTCGCCTGGAAGCTCGCCTCGCCCACCTGGAAGCTCGCCTCGCCCACCTGGAAGCTCGCCTCGCCCACCTGGAAGCTCGCCTCGCCCACCTGGAAGCTCGCCTCGCCCACCTGGAAGCTCGCCTCGCCCACCTGGAAGCTCGCCTCGCCCACCTGGAAGCTCGCCTCGCCCACCTGGAAGCTCGCCTCGCCCACCTGGAAGCTCGCCTCGCCCACCTGGAAGCTCGCCTCGCCCACCTGGAAGCTCGCCTCGCCCACCTGGAAGCTCGCCTCGCCCACCTGGAAGCTCGCCTCGCCCACCTGGAAGCTCGCCTCGCCCACCTGGAAGCTCGCCTCGCCCACCTGGAAGCTCGCCTCGCCCACCTGGAAGCTCGCCTCGCCCACCTGGAAGCTCGCCTCGCCCACCTGGAAGCTCGCCTCGCCCACCTGGAAGCTCGCCTCGCCCACCTGGAAGCTCGCCCTCGCCCACCTGGAAGCTCGCCTCGCCCACCTGGAAGCTCGCCTCGCCCACCTGGAAGCTCGCCTCGCCCACCTGGAAGCTCGCCTCGCCCACCTGGAAGCTCGCCTCGCCCACCTGGAAGCTCGCCTCGCCCACCTGGAAGCTCGCCTCGCCCACCTGGAAGCTCGCCTCGCCCACCTGGAAGCTCGCCTCGCCCACCTGGAAGCTCGCCTCGCCCACCTGGAAGCTCGCCTCGCCCACCTGGAAGCTCGCCTCGCCCACCTGGAAGCTCGCCTCGCCCACCTGGAAGCTCGCCTCGCCCACCTGGAAGCTCGCCTCGCCCACCTGGAAGCTCGCCTCGCCCACCTGGAAGCTCGCCTCGCCCACCTGGAAGCTCGCCTCGCCCACCTGGAAGCTCGCCTCGCCCACCTGGAAGCTCGCCTCGCCACCTGGAAGCTCGCCTCGCCCACCTGGAAGCTCGCCTCGCCCACCTGGAAGCTCGCCTCGCCCACCTGGAAGCTCGCCTCGCCCACCTGGAAGCTCGCCTCGCCCACCTGGAAGCTCGCCTCGCCCACCTGGAAGCTCGCCTCGCCCACCTGGAAGCTCGCCTCGCCCACCTGGAAGCTCGCCTCGCCCACCTGGAAGCTCGCCTCGCCCACCTGGAAGCTCGCCTCGCCCACCTGGAAGCTCGCCTCGCCCACCTGGAAGCTCGCCTCGCCCACCTGGAAGCTCGCCTCGCCCACCTGGAAGCTCGCCTCGCCCACCTGGAAGCTCGCCTCGCCCACCTGGAAGCTCGCCTCGCCCACCTGGAAGCTCGCCTCGCCCACCTGGAAGCTCGCCTCGCCCACCTGGAAGCTCGCCTCGCCCACCTGGAAGCTCGCCTCGCCCACCTGGAAGCTCGCCTCGCCCACCTGGAAGCTCGCCCTCGCCCACCTGGAAGCTCGCCTCGCCCACCTGGAAGCTCGCCTCGCCCACCTGGAAGCTCGCCTCGCCCACCTGGAAGCTCGCCTCGCCCACCTGGAAGCTCGCCTCGCCCACCTGGAAGCTCGCCTCGCCCACCTGGAAGCTCGCCTCGCCCACCTGGAAGCTCGCCTCGCCCACCTGGAAGCTCGCCTCGCCCACCTGGAAGCTCGCCTCGCCCACCTGGAAGCTCGCCTCGCCCACCTGGAAGCTCGCCTCGCCCACCTGGAAGCTCGCCTCGCCCACCTGGAAGCTCGCCTCGCCCACCTGGAAGCTCGCCTCGCCCACCTGGAAGCTCGCCTCGCCCACCTGGAAGCTCGCCTCGCCCACCTGGAAGCTCGCCTCGCCCACCTGGAAGCTCGCCTCGCCCACCTGGAAGCTCGCCTCGCCCACCTGGAAGCTCGCCTCGCCCACCTGGAAGCTCGCCTCGCCCACCTGGAAGCTCGCCTCGCCCACCTGGAAGCTCGCCTCGCCCACCTGGAAGCTCGCCTCGCCCACCTGGAAGCTCGCCTCGCCCACCTGGAAGCTCGCCTCGCCCACCTGGAAGCTCGCCTCGCCCACCTGGAAGCTCGCCTCGCCCACCTGGAAGCTCGCCTCGCCCACCTGGAAGCTCGCCTCGCCCACCTGGAAGCTCGCCTCGCCCACCTGGAAGCTCGCCTCGCCCACCTGGAAGCTCGCCTCGCCCACCTGGAAGCTCGCCTCGCCCACCTGGAAGCTCGCCTCGCCCACCTGGAAGCTCGCCTCGCCCACCTGGAAGCTCGCCTCGCCCACCTGGAAGCTCGCCTCGCCCACCTGGAAGCTCGCCTCGCCCACCTGGAAGCTCGCCTCGCCCACCTGGAAGCTCGCCTCGCCCACCTGGAAGCTCGCCTCGCCCACCTGGAAGCTCGCCTCGCCCACCTGGAAGCTCGCCTCGCCCACCTGGAAGCTCGCCTCGCCCACCTGGAAGCTCGCCTCGCCCACCTGGAAGCTCGCCTCGCCCACCTGGAAGCTCGCCTCGCCCACCTGGAAGCTCGCCTCGCCCACCTGGAAGCTCGCCTCGCCCACCTGGAAGCTCGCCTCGCCCACCTGGAAGCTCGCCTCGCCCACCTGGAAGCTCGCCTCGCCCACCTGGAAGCTCGCCTCGCCCACCTGGAAGCTCGCCTCGCCCACCTGGAAGCTCGCCTCGCCCACCTGGAAGCTCGCCTCGCCCACCTGGAAGCTCGCCTCGCCCACCTGGAAGCTCGCCTCGCCCACCTGGAAGCTCGCCTCGCCCACCTGGAAGCTCGCCTCGCCCACCTGGAAGCTCGCCTCGCCCACCTGGAAGCTCGCCTCGCCCACCTGGAAGCTCGCCTCGCCCACCTGGAAGCTCGCCTCGCCCACCTGGAAGCTCGCCTCGCCCACCTGGAAGCTCGCCTCGCCCACCTGGAAGCTCGCCTCGCCCACCTGGAAGCTCGCCTCGCCCACCTGGAAGCTCGCCTCGCCCACCTGGAAGCTCGCCTCGCCCACCTGGAAGCTCGCCTCGCCCACCTGGAAGCTCGCCTCGCCCACCTGGAAGCTCGCCTCGCCCACCTGGAAGCTCGCCTCGCCCACCTGGAAGCTCGCCTCGCCCACCTGGAAGCTCGCCTCGCCCCCAGTGATGTGCTCCGCCGCCATCACTTTCACCGCCACCTCCACCTCGCGCCCGCCCGGCCCTGCGGGGTGCGTGAGGCGCCCGTGGTACACGCGCCCAAAGCCGCCCTCCCCCACCACACGCGCGAAGTTGCTCGTCGCCGCCACCATCTCCGCTGCCGTGAACTCGCGCAGGGAGCCAGGTGCGTCAGCTGGGGAGGGGAGGGGGATGGGGGAGGGGAGGGGGGGGGGTTGGGGGAGGTGGGAGGGCAGGGGAAATGGGAGGTGAGGCGCCCGAAGCGGCCTTCCCCCACCACACGTGAGAAGGCGTTCACCAGGCGGCCTGAGCCACCGCTGTGCTGTACTCGTGGAGAGAGGCGGATGAGCCTGGGGGGGTGGCAGAGGGGAGAGCGGGGGGTGGGGAGGGGAGAGGCAGGGAGAGAGAGGCAGGTGGGTGCTTAGGTGTGGCGTGGTGAGCTGAGGTAAAGGCGCACACTGCAACGGACTTGGTGGCTGGTCTTGGGAGGCGGGGAATAGGGGAGGTGGGGGAGGGGCCGAGGGGAGGGGAGAGTGAAGAGGCCCCCCGCAGTGAAGCGCCCCCCCGCAGCGAAGAGCCCCCCGCGATGAGGAGTTCCGAGGAAAACGAGGGCAGGCAGTGGGAGAAGTCGGGCGAGAGCTCGCACAATGGGGCTCGCGCAATGGGGCTCGCGCAATGGGGCTCGCGCAATGGGGCTCGCGCAATGGGGCTCGCGCAATGGGGCTCGCGCAATGGGGCTCGCGCAATGGGGCTCGCGCAATGGGGCTCGCGCAATGGGGCTCGCGCAATGGGACTTGCGCAATGGGACTCGCGCAATGGGACTCAGGCAACGGGACTCACGCAATGGGGGCTGTTGAGCCGCGGGCTGTTGGGCCGCGGGCTGTTGGGCCGCGGGCTGTTGGGCCGCGGGCAGTTGGGGTTGCGGTTGGGCGGTGGGGCGGACGGGGGGAACGGCGGCGGGGGTCTCACAGCAGTTGCCCATGCCGCCACGCGCCCCTTTTAACGCGCCGCTTGTAACCAGCCCCTTGAAACGCGCTCCTTGTAACGCGCTCCTTGCAACGCGCCCCTTGTGACGCGCCGCTTGTAAGGCGCCGCTTAAAACGGGCCGCTTGTAAGGCGCCGCTTAGATCGCGCAGCTTGTAACGCGCAGCTTGTAACGCGCGCAGCCCTACGGGTTCGTTAAAGACTCTCCGAGATATCGTCTAGGGTCGGACGGCTGGGTTGGTCCGTACTAGTAGTAATGCCATCGCCAACACATGGGGACTCGGAGTTACGACAAAGCTAGGTTCCAGATGCTTTCAGCGTGGGCGCCTCGCCAAACTTCCCGATAACCTTCCGTGCCGAATGGAGTGGACAATGCGTGGCGGCGTCTGGTTGGTTTGCGTTTCGTCGCTACGATGCTCCTGGTCGCGTAGTTATGTCAGCTGTTAGGACGTGAACACTCAGTGGGGTTGGTGGAGGGTTGGGCGTGCAAACTGAAGATTTGAGATCACCTTGATGTGTTCATAAACAAGACATTCGCGCTACAACACTGGATTTCGCCAATGTCTTGCTATCAACGAGCGACACGACGACGGGTCGTGCTTGTCATTGAGCATCACGATCGTCGCATCGGCGAACATCTCGGCAAGTTGGATTCTCCAAAGTCAGAGACCCAAAGACCACTATAGTAGCCCCATCTAAGCTACCGTATTCCCCCGGATAAAAGACCCTAGGGTCTGTTTTTGATTTCATAAAAAAAATGTGGGGGGTCTTATAAAATTGTATAAAAACTATAAGACCCGGGTCTTACTATAAGTGCTATGTTTTTCTGAATGTAATGAAATGCAGGGGTGTTGTAATACTGTGCTGCATTTTTAAAACGGGGAAACACCACGCGAATGTCCTGGGCCGAGGAAGCGGGGACAATCAATGAAGCATCTGAATGCTTCATGCACATTGGCCCACATTGAGTAGTAACCAGCACGTTAGATCAAGGGACGACGGACGTGTACCACGTCCACTGCATTGTGTCAGACCGCCTCGGAACATAAACAGAAATAGGGACTGATATTTCCATGTTAAAACACTTTTGAGGTTTGGGGGGGGGGTCTTCTAATGAATTCACCCTAAATGGGGGGTATAACTGTCAGAATACTGAACGAGAATTAATGAACAATGAATGAGTTGGGTACAAGTACTAACCCTAATTGGGTTGTACCCCTTATGGGCTACCCCACAACCGCCTACACAATGTAAACAGTATAACATTTTGACACACCCCCATAGGCAAAGTGGGGGAGAACAAGTTGTCACAAGACCAGTCAAGAAAAGCAAAGCAAGCTCAGGGTGGATCACGAATTCACCACAAATTTTGAACACAAGCAAATGGCCACAAGGCCAGTTCACATGCTGAGTTATATAAAAAAGAACAAACAGTACAGTGATCATAGCCTAGCAAGAGTAAGCATGCAGGTATATATATATATCACAGTACAAGCAAAGTCACGCAGTGAGCAAGTGAGGCAAAGCAGGCATAAGGCCTAAAACAATACAGAAACGCTGATGATCACCAGACTGATGTGCCTTGGTGAATATATCAGCAGTGTTGGCCGGAGTGGCCACGTAAGCGAGACGAAGCTGACCACGCTGCTGCAACTCTCGAGCAAGGAAGTAACGCAGAGCGATGTGCTTCGTTCTGTGCTCCAGTCTGTGCTCTTGACACAAGGCAATCATGGCCTTGTTGTCTACGTACAGAACTGGAGGAGAACGAGGCCGCTCTCCCAAGTCGGTCAGCAGGTAGTTGAGCAAGCGTAACTCCTGTGCAGCCATGGCCCCTGCGTAGATCTCAGCCTCACAACTGGAACTGAGAACAGAAGACGAGTGGGTAGACCGCCAAGAAACAGAGCCGGAGCCAAGGCTGAAGGTGTAACCGTGTGACGGGCGCTGTGTAGCTGAGTCGTCAACCTAAGAAGCGTCTGCGTGTCCAGTGAGGACAAATGGACCCCGTCCTCCAAGCACGAGCCCCATGCCCGATGTACTGCGCAAGTAGCGCAACACCCTCTTAGCAGCCTCCCAGTCCTCGGATTGGTGTCTCCTGGGCGCAACGTAGCGTGCCAGGATGCTAAGAGGGTAGGGAAGGTCAGGTCGAGTGCAGGTCATCAGGTACATGAGGCAGCCCACAAGCGCTGGATACGGGCCACTCGGCTCTACGGACTCGTCCGAAGGTGGAGCTGAGAGAGATTGACCGGTAGGCAGAGGAGTCGACTGTGGCGAGGAGTACCGGAAGCCGAAGCGCTGAAGGACCTGGTGCACCATGTGTGACCGAGTCAGGGTGAAGGTGCACCGTGCTCTGTCCCGGGCGATCTGTAAGCCAAGATAGCTGCGTAGTTCACCCAGGTCAGTGCAGGTGTGTCTCTTCTACATCTCCGACTTCACAAGGGCCAGTGCCTCAGCGTCAGCAGTGGCAAAGACCAAGTTGTCGACGTACACGAGAACGTAGAACGGCGGCAGCGAAGTGTCGGTGCGGAGAAACAGCGACGGGTCAGCAGTCGAAGGAGCAAACCCAAGATCCGCAAGTGTCGTCCTCAGTGTGTCGTGCCACTCGCGAGGCGCCTGACGGAGACCGTAGACTGACCGCCAGAGGCTCCACTGGGAACCTGCAGGAAACGACCCAGTGAAGCCAGGTGGGCGGCGCAGCCAGATCTCCTCGTGCAGGCTGCCCTGCAAGAAAGCTGTGCTGAAGTCAAGAGAGTACAGCTCGTAGTCACGCTGAGCAGCGACGTGCAGCAACACTCAAAGATGACCACTCTTCTTCGGGGTAGGGGAAAAGGTCTGGAAGAAGTCAACTCCCTGTCGCTGACTGAAGCCTCGTGCAACATAACGAGCCTTGAAGACAGGCGGAGAACCCGGCGGCCGCTTCACCCTGAAAATCCACATGCCTTCGACAATGTTCGCCCTAGACGGGGGAACTGCGTCGACGTAGGTGCCTGTGGACTTCCAGGATGCCATCTCTGCGTCCATAGCTGTCTGCCATTGAGAGGAGTACGGACCCGTAATCACCTCTGCGTAAGAGCGCGGGGTTGGGATGTCTGGTGCATCCGGTCCTCCCTCAAACGCAAGCAGCATGGCCACGAGATGAGGTACAGTAGTTGCAAGACACTCAATGTCCTCCTGCCTATCCTCAGCGTAAGAAGAAGTAGTAGGCAGTGGGGAGTCTGGCTGTAACTGGGGCTGCGACTGGTGAGGCGGTGGACTCAGTAAGCTAGGAGGAAGGCCAGTAGAAGATGGGAGACTAAGAACCTGGCAAAGGACCGAGTTAGGTGGCGGCAGAGACGATGGTGGCGTCGGAACGAAAAACGGTCGCCGCTGCACAGTGCCTCTAGCACCAGTACCGCCAGACGCAGCACTCCCAGCGCCAGTACCTCCAGCTCCAGGGTCGACAGCTCCAGCGCCTCCAGCTCCAGTGCCTCCAGCGCTAGTGCCTCCAGCTCCAGCGCCGCCAGCGCCAGTGCCTCCAGCTCCAGAGTCTCCAACTCCAGTGTCACCAGCTCCAGTGCCTCCAGAGCCAGAGCCTCCAGCTCCAGCGCCAGGGTCTCCAGCTCCAGCGCCTCCAACACCACCAGCCCCGGCAGCTTCAGTGCCTCTAGTACGAGCACCTCTAGGACAAGAAGCTCCAGCACCTCTGGTACCTCCAGCTCCTGCAGTAACTCCAGCACCTCCAAGACAAACAGCTCCAGCACCTCCAGCTCCAGTGTCTCCAGCGGTAGAGCCTCCAGCTCTTGCAGCTACACTCCGAAGGCGTTTGCACTGAGCAAACCACTCGCGCAGCTGCTTGTCAAACTTATATCTGCTATAGTCTATTTAGGCTGTAGTGGGGTAGCTCTTAGAGGGTACAACACTTATGTTTTCTACTTGTACCCATCTCAGTTTCTAGTTCATTCATTTCGTCAATTATCTCACATGGTATAGAGCTAGTTTCGAGTTTTTTTTTAAAAGGGCCCACCACTGAATTTTTTCTTACCTGCTCGACGCGCGCGTCGCGCCTGCCCTTCGAGGCCCGTAGCGGCCCCTGCGCCTGCCCTTAGAGCCAGCGCCGGCCCCGTAAGGCCCTGTAAGGCCCCGTTTACGGCCCCGGTTAAGGCCCTGTAAGGCCCCGTAAGGCCCCGTAAGGCCCCGTTTACGACCCCGTAAGGCCCCGGAAGGCCCCGTAAGGCCCCGTAAGGCCCCGTTTACGGCCCCATTTAAGGCCACGTAAGGCCCCGTAAGGCCCCGTTTACGGCCCCGTTTAAGGCCCCGTACGGCCCCGTAAGGCCCCGTAAGGCCCCGTGAGGCCCCGTAAGGCCCCGTAAGGCCCCGTTTACGGCCCCGTTTAAGGCCCCGTAAGGCCCCATAAGGCCCTGTAAGGCCCCGTCAGGCCCCGTTTAAGGCCCCGTTAGGCCCCGTAAGGCCCCGTATGGCCCCGTAAGGCCCCGTAAGGCCCCGTAAGGCCCCGTAAGGCCCCGTCAGGCCCCGTCAGGCCCCGTTTGCGGCCCCGTCAGGCCCCGTAAGGCCCAGTCAGGCCCCGTTAGAGGCCCCGTACGGCCCCGTCAGGCCCCGTTAGCGGCCCCGTCAGGCCCCGTCAGGCCCTGTAAGGCCCCGTCCGGCCCTGCCCCGGCCCTACCCCTACCTGTCGCGGCCCTGCGCCGGCCCTGCTGCGGCCCTGTCGCAGCTCTGCCCCGGCCCTGCTCCGGCACTGTTGCAGCCCTGCCCCGGCCCTCGCCCCGACCCTGTCTCGGCCCTGCCCCGGCCCTGCTCCTGCACTGCCGCGGCCCGGCCCTGGCCCTGCCCCGGACCTGTCGCGGCCTCGCCCCGGCCCTGTTCCGGCCCTGCTCCGACCCTGCCCCGGCCCTGCCCAGGCCCTGCCCCGGCCCTGCCCCGGCCCTGCCCCGGCCCTGCCCCGGCCCTGCCCCCTGCCCCGGCCCTGCTCCGACCCTGCCCCGGCCCTGCCCCGGCCCTGCCCCGGCCCTGCCCCGGCCCTGCCCCGGCCCTGCCCCGGCCCTGCCCCGGCCCTGCCCCCTGCCCCGGCCCTGCTCCGACCCTGCCCCGGCCCTGCCCCGGCCCTGCCCCGGCTCTGCCCCGGCCCTGCCCCTGCCCTGCTCCTGCACTGTCGCGGCCC